TCCTATAAATACCACCATATGTGATTCATTTGAAACACACCAAACAAAACACTCAATTCATAACTGAAAGGAGTTCACAGTCAACATAATAGTTTCTTATCAACTCCTCGTAGCTTCTCCTCGGGTAGATAGTTCGAGGAAAGCTATGTGGGGTTGATAAAAACCGTTACGATGACTGTATACTTCTTTTAGTTTTTTTTAATTAGGTTTAAGGTTTAGGTTTAGGGTTTAGGGTTTAATTAGGTTTAAGGTTCAGGTTTATTGTTTAATTAGGCTTAAGGTTTAGGGTTTAGGGGTTTACAAACCCTTTCCTCGTAAAGCCCTAGTAATTGAAAACACGGGCATAGCTAGTTCCTCGTAAGCTTTACGAGGACCTTACGAGGAAAAAAACGCGGGCATAGCTATTTCCTCGTAATCTTACGAGGACTTTACGAGGAAAAAAACGCGGGCATAGCTGTTTCCTCGTAAAGCCCTAGTAATATTACTAGGGCTTTACGAGGAAACAAATTTCTTATATATACACGAGCAATCCGACTGCTCAGTCATAGTAACTTCCTCTCTACTCTCTCTTAAGGTACTCTCTAGTTCCTAGTTAGGTGATTAGATTAGGTGGTTAGTTTAGGGAATTTAGATTAGGTGGTTAGTTTAGGGAATTTAGATTAGGTGGTTCGATTTTGAATTTTTAAATACGTTTGTTTAACTGTTTATGTTTTCTGTTTTTTTTTTAAATTTAGATGGTTAGACAGAGCAAACTTGATGCTGCTNTTAGGGAATTTAGATTAGGTGGTTAGTTTAGGGAATTTAGATTAGGTGGTTCGATTTTGAATTTTTAAATACGTTTGTTTAACTGTTTATGTTTTCTGTTTTTTTTTTAAATTTAGATGGTTAGACAGAGCAAACTTGATGCTGCTCGGTCCAAGAGGCCGGTAGATGATGGGATTCACTATGCAGATTTATTCGGGTCTGGATCCTCTTCATCAGCGGCCGGTGGTTCAGCTTCCGGAGTTCCCGAGACCCAGGCTGGTTTTACGGTTTCCCGGTCTCAGCAGACACCTCCTCAGCCACCTCCACAGCCACCTCCTCAGCCACCTCCTCAGCCACCGCCTCAGCCACCTCCTCAGCCACCGGTCGGGATTCATCCTGACTTGCAGGTACCTCCCAACGCACCATTTGCGGTGTACACGGTGGAGGACATCATGGCCCTTCCAGGCAGAGAAGGGCTACCAGAGTTAGATCCTTTCCGGCGGGACGGCCGTAACGTATTATGGTATGTATGTTTTAATTTTTAAATTTTTTTATTAAATAATTTTTAAAAAGTGTTATTAAATAATTTATTTTCTGTCTTTCCAGGTTTGGTCTCGACAATGCTGTCGGATCTAGCGTCACGGACTGTATCAAGGGATACTTTCCCGATGCAGCTCCAAACTGGAAGCTGACGGCGAGCCACACCAAAAAGACGTGGTTCAAATCATTCGCTGTAAGTAATTTAGTAAATCAATTTAATTTCTTTATAATCATTTAAAATTAGCAATTTTATTGAACTAATCCGTCTTTATTTTTTCTGGTTGCAGCAAAAATACCGTTGGTCTATTGGGATTCACCAGCGGGTGAAGACCGAGTTCGAGACCAAGGCAAAAGCCCGATTGTGCGACATGGTCTACAACTGGAAGGGCGACTTTCAGGTATAAATTTAAAAATTATAATATATATTAATTATACTTTTATTT